ATATTCATGATTTACGTAATTAATTTTTTTCTATGATAAATATATCATTTAAGATATATTTTTATGGAAGTTGAGTTTTTAAATTTTTATAATTTTCATGTAACCTCTCCTAATAGTTAGATTTTACATCTATAAATATTTGAGGAGACATCTGAATGAGATATTGATGAAGATAATGCAGCTAGATGATGAAGCCATGAAGCCATCAGTAGATCATAGCAGACAGCAGCAGCTCAGCTCTAGCTTTCTTCCTTTTATAAGCCAAGGGCTCTTTTGTCTTTTCCTAGAGTTAGTTTTGTTAGTTGAGTTAGTTTTGTTAGTTACAACTACTCTAGGGCTTAAATAGCCGGTTAATGCTTCTTCCTTCTGTAATTTTTTCACTCAGTACAACCCACAGCTCTTATGAGCTTTCTCTGCTTTGTAATGAATACATACCATCATTCCTAGGTTCAAGCTCTCCAACATGGTATCAGAGCTTTACCGGAGCTACGCCGCAGCAGTTGTGATGGAGCCGGCCGGTGACAGAAACCGCAATCAGACAGAGCAGGCAGGAGCCTCTACAAGCCAAATCCCATCGAGTCAGCACAATGATGAGTTTGAAGATCCCCTCTACTTACACGCTACTGAGAACCCTAATCTCAGTCTTGTGTCACCTCCCCTAACCGAGACCAATTACAATTCCTGGAGTAGATCGATGCGCATCGCATTGGAGGTGAAGAACAAATTCGGCTTTGTCAATGGAACAGTTCCAGTTCCAGAAGCTAATGATCCGAGATTGACGACTTGGAGAAGATGCAACCGTATTGTATGTTCTTGGATTCTAAGGTCTGTCAATCCAAGCATAGCAGAGAGTGTCATGTACTATGACAAGGCCATAGACATCTGGAATGCACTGCAGAAGAGGTATTCCCAATCTGATCGCCATAGAATCTCTGAAATTCAGACTGAAATTTTTAGAAATGTGCAAGGACAAATGACTGTGAATGAATACTTCACAAAAAGTAATGCCCTATGGCAGCAAATGAGTGCATTGAGGCCTCTACTCCTGTGCGAGTGTGTGCCAAGATGTTCATGCACTCTAATGAGTAGAATGCAGAAACAGAGGGAAGAGGACCAAGTGATCCGATTCTTGGAAGGGTTAAATGATGAATATGAGGCAATTAAATCTGGGGTGCTTGTTATGGACCCTATTCCAGAGATGGAGAAAGTGTTGAATATGACCTTGAAGGTTGAAAGAAAGCTTAGAGGCTCAAACACCCAAAGATGCAGTGATTATGCTCAGTCCAATGCTGTTCTTGAAAGTCAGATCCAAATCCGGGAAGAACAATCTGTGGTAGCAGCTGCAACTTACAACAATAATAGAAAGAAATTTTCAAATAATGGGGGTAAGAATGTGCCCAAGTGCACTTATTGTAACATGCTTGGTCATACTGTTGATAAATGTTACAAGAAACATGGATTCCCACCTGGGTGGGTAGCAGGATACAAATCCAAGAACAAACAGCCACAAGATACACAACAACCATCAAGCTCAGCAGTTAGTCAGTTGAATGACACAGGCCTCTCAGCTGATCAATTCCAGAAGCTGGTATCCCTCCTTCAGAATCAAAACCATGGTGGTCAAGTGTTGAGTAATGCAGCTATGACAGTAAACACCTCTGGAATCAAATCTGACTTCAAGAACTCTCTGGAAGGACAAAATGAAGGTAATTCTGCACCTAGAATTCATGTTAATGCTGTTCTTAATACACACTTAATATGGATATTGGATTCAGGAGCCACAGATCACATTGTGTGCTCATTACAATTTCTTGATAAATATCACAAGATTGAGGGATTATCTGTGAAGTTACCTAATGGTGATATTGTCAGTGTTACTCACTTAGGGGAAATCAGGCTTGAAGAGAATATTTTGCTGACAAATGTGCTGTATATCCCATCCTTTACCTTTAACATCATATCTGCTAGTAGATTAACTAAGCAGTCTGGGTGCAAGATTGTGATAGATGCTGATTCATGTACTGTCCAGGGTCCACTTGGAACCAAGGTTGGTTTTGCTAGAGAAAAGGATGGCCTATATCTGATCAACAGTCCTCCTACTAAGAAGAATGCTCAACAAATTGTTGTAGATAACTCTCAATGTAATAGTGTGACAATAGGATTGTGGCATAATAGATTGGGACACTATCCCATTAATAAGATTTCCCTATTGAATGGAATAAAAGCTACTCCCTTACAGCAACAATGTGATTTTGTCTGTGATGCTTGCAATTTTGCTAAACATAAGAAGTCTATTTTTCCAGTTAGCACTTCTAAAGCTGAAAACTGTTTTGATCTCATACACATGGATGTATGGGGACCCTTCTCTGTGGCTTCCCTCAAAGGTGAACATTATTTTTTGACCATAGTTGATGACTGCAGCAGATTTACTTGGTTACATATGATGAAAAGTAAATCTGAAGTCAAAAACATATTTCAAAATTTCTACAACTATGTGCTCACTCAATTCTCTGCTAAGATTAAGGTGATAAGAACAGATAATGGGACAGAATTCTTGATGAATGACTTCTATGCTGAGAGTAATTTTTTCACTCAGTACAACCCACAGCTCTTATGAGCTTTCTCTGCTTTGTAATGAATACATACCATCATTCCTAGGTTCAAGCTCTCCAACAGATATGCAATTGAGACAAGGAAATTAAGATACTTCACATGCTTACAATTTTACAAAAAATTCTCCAACAAAGCAACTTGAGAATTTCATTCATCTTCTTGTATCCCATAAGATTAAATCTTGAATCTTGTTGCTTTTATAGGGGGGATTTAAAGTTTATAGGAAAGTTATTACACGTCTGAAGATGTCAAATGATTCAGTTTTTGTTCTCCGTTGTGTACTTTCTCCAACATGTAGTAAATAAGAAAAAATAAAAACCAAAAACCCACATTACAACTCTACTTTATCATTGAAATTTATCACACATGATTTTTGCAATACAATTTAATTCTTTTGTTTGATTTGTGAATTATTATACAAGAGTAAGGGTTATTCCATGCATACTTTAGCTGCATGTTTCCTAGCTTGGTTAAAAAAGGGAATAAAAACTTTTTGTTTTGTGAAAGAGGAATAAAAACCTTTTGTATGATAAAAGATCTTTACACCAAACACTCCACCTAAATTCATCTTTCTATAGAGTATACTGGACACTTAGTCAATTAGACATGCTGCAAACAATTTTTTTTTTAACAACTTTAAATTCAATTCTACTTTTAAAATTACTTTTAGGTATTTAGACTTTAAAATAAAATATCTTAACATATAAGCAGTTTATGATGATATTAATTTTTTGAAACAATTAAAATTTAAATAAACAAAAAATTTATGCCAAACACAACAAAAAAGACAAAGAAATAAGGGACAGAGTTGTGACCCTCAAGAAAATGGGTACAAACCGCATCAAATCAACTAACAACAAGATTTCCCTTTTGCCCTTCTAAACCAAAAAAAAAAAAAAAAAAAAAAAAAAAAAAAAAAAAAAAAAAGACTTATAATGACTAAGTGAAGATAATCTCAGCAACCCTCCGACATCCTCGGAGCATTCACACTCGTAGTTATTTAAGAGTTATTTCTACATGAATTCTCTCCACCCAAAGTTAATAGCTGTTGTAGGAAGGAGTTATTTTAAAAATATTTCTCCTGCAAAATATGATATATTTGTGGGCCTAGTAGGTAAGAGAAATAATTAAAATATAGTGGGTTAAATGGTACGTCCATAAAAAATTGAGAAATAACTCAAAAGTGATGTGAAGAAGGGTTTTTTGTGATTGAATGAGATGGTGGAAGATGAGGTGGATGCTGGGACTCACAAATAACTGAGAAATAACCTCAACTGATAAGGATGCTCTCATACATGTAAGTCAAATTTTGTATCAACATCTCCCAAAAAAAATGGTTAAGTTGGTGAAGCATGATTCTCATACCAGAAGGTCATGTATTTAATTTTTATCAACATTCTCTCGGTCAAACCCTTTACATAAAGGCCCTGTTTGGTAACATAGTTAACTTATCAACCAATTTTTGCTTATTTGACCATTATTAGTTGTTTGACTTGGTTAAACAATTAATATGAGTATTTGATTAATTACCTTTTTGTAACAACTTGTTGCTCCAAAATGTTAAAATTCAAAAAACTTCTCAAAGTAGCTTTTTCAATCAGCTTTTTGAGAAAGTCATTTTGCATGTAATCAGCTATCAGTTAATAATTAATTTACCATACACTTTTCTACAATTAACTAATGCTATCAACTAGTCAAACCCACTAATCCAATCAATTAACAACTATTTATCAAACATCCCAAAATGTTCTTGAGTTCTTGGCTTACCAGCTTCCCGTTGATCACATTGCACAAAGTCTTCTTCTGGTGTGGTTTACAAGCTTCCTCAAATAAATGGATATATATAGGGTTTTTAGTTTTTAGAACTTTATATATATATATATATATATATATGATGGGCATAGAAGTTTCATTTATATCATTTTTAACAATAAAAGAGTAATTTTTCCTCCAATATTTGTCACACAAGGATATAAATATTGGAGGAAAAATTACTCTTTTATTGTTAAAAATGATATAAATGAAACTTCTATGCCCCATATATATATATATATATATATATATATATATATATATATATATATAGAGAGAGAGAGAGAGAGAGAGAGAGAGAGGAGATCAAGTGCAATCATGTTGTTAGGTGTGGTTATATGGTCAATTACAGGCCATTAGATTAGATAGATCCAATGAATCACATTAATTAAGATTCTTTCAGTATTTTCGCGCACGTTCTCCTACCCAGCGAACTGCAAGGGTAAACTCGTCATAAGGCACCGGAATTGGGAAAATCACAATGTTGTGTGTTTTATTTGTGTAATTGGTGCATTATTAGCCTTATTCTGGTGTATTTGTAGATTCCCATTGGTGCCAAGTTCAGGTGCGGCAACGCCTTTCCCGTGTGGTCAGTGCGGTCGCACCAATTGTTATACAAATATACATCATCCATGTTATGAAATGCACAGCAAAAAACATACACAAATTAGGTACGCATCACCAAAAATGCACCATTAGATATGAATAAATACATCATATAGTGTTCGGGAATACACCATTGGTGTGTTTCACTGTGGTGTGTTATAAGACACTATTGGTGCAAGTTGACAACACTGTTGGTGTATTTTTGGAACCTGACCGCTATAAATGGTCACTGTAATTACCATAACGCCCCCTACTTACCAAAACACGTTTAAAACCTTAAAATCTCAGTAATTAGCCACTGCCATTAGATTATCCTGATTCAACGATCCAGATACAGCCACACCGCCACACCTAATGACATGACCACATATGAGCTCTTATATATATATATATATATATATATATTATTTTGTCACACAAGGATATAAATATTAGAGGAAAAATTACTCTTTTATTGTTAAAAATGATATAAATGAAACTTCTATGATGTTGATGGCACAAGATTGTATACAATACAATCATACATCATACATGATTATACCAATACAATCAACATCGTAAATTTTAGATTTTTTACTTAAAAAAAAAAAAAAAAAAAAAAACTTGAATTTATTTTTTGAAAACCAAAAAAAAAATTGTAAAAAAACTTGAAATTTAATATTCCAATAAAGTTAGAATAATGCTATAGGAGTCAAAATTTTTCACCAACTTTTTTTTACCATCCTACATGATAATAAAATTATTTTTATTCATTAATTACCATGAATTGATCTACTATATTTTACATTAAAAAATAGAATATACTTAGATTTTGTTTTAAAAAAAAATGTCATCCTATAGCATAATCCATAAAATTTTTACCAATGAAACTGACCCTTAGCTTTAATTTTTTTTTTTTTTAAAGATTTTTTAAATTTACCTAACTTTTTTTTTTTTGAATGATAAAATTTACCTAACTTATTAAGTGGACAATACAGAAGAGTTTGAAAGATAGAATTTGGCGAGATTTTTCCCCAACATTCTTATTTATTTATTTACTTTTATCATTTCAGTGCAAGTAATTATTGCCTTTTCAGCAATGAACCTTACTGGCCAAGTATGTGTTCACATGGAAACTCTTTATGGTCTTTAAAGGTGGTGCCATTTTTATTCTCTTTAATCATGAAAGAAATGTGATATTAACCAAAAGCTAATTACCGAAACCCAAAATCTACCGAGTAAAATCATCCTTAAAAGCACTTAAAATGGTGCCAAATCATGCTCTGATAGAGGTATGATATATTATATATACATTACTCCGTATTAAATATTGATGATGCACTCTCATTGTTCAAATCTTTTTATTTTAATTCGGAGTGAATCTTTCAAGCGCCTGCGATTATCACCAGCTGTTTCGAATTGAATTGGTAACTTCTTCTTGCAACTTTTCTTCTTCCGTAACTTCTCTCTGTCACTGTGTTTACAATATCTCTCTCCTTGCTTCAGAAAGAGAGGAGGAGAGAGAGCGAGGTGGCATTTGGCAGTGGGGTTTTAGGTTTATGATTCTTTGAGGAAGTTTATAATTTTTGGGAATTTCTGTGAAAACTTGAACTTTTTCTGCGGATTGGTGGTCTGGGTCTCGCTAAAAATGCAATCTTTAGACAAGTCCGGCGTTGATTTAGAAGCTGGAGAGTGCGGAGACGGCGGCCGGCGCAATTCAGCCGCCGTGAGCGGTGGCCGGCCGTTTTCCTCTGAAGCTGTGGAGGTGGGCAATACCGAAGTTCCCGGCTTGCCGGAGAAGAGGATTTCTTCCGTGTCAGAATGCTCTGTGGAGGTGGATCTGGTGGGGGCTTCTGCAAAAGAGGAAACCAAATTGCATTTTCTGAAAACTGAGAGGGATTGCAGGATTTGCCATCTGAGCATGGATTCAGAGAATCAAGAACCCTCCGGGGGGATGGGGATGGGGATGGGGATGGGGGTCTTCATTGAACTAGGTTGTTCTTGCAAGGATGATTTGGCTGCTGCCCACAAACAGTGTGCTGAGGCCTGGTTCAAGATTAAGGGAAACAGGTAACCTCTTACATAGCTGTTAGCTTATTGGGTTAGTAGATTTGACTAATTCATAACATTAGCTGATTGTAGAAAATTGTTTGGTAAATTAACGATACTGATTACATGCAAAATGACTTTCTCACAAAGCTTTTTGAATTTTAGCATTTTGGAGCAATTAGCTTTTACAAAACGTTATTTAATAAAAAACTCATATTGATTGTTTAATTGTAGTTAATAGTGGTCAAATAAGCTAAAATTGACTGATAAGCTAACAATGGCCATAGTCAAATTTAACTATGAATCTGTTGTCTATTATTACTTTGTTGGAAGTTCTTCTATATGCATTTTTAGTTCCCAAACCTTGTTCTTAAGTTGAGATGTTAATGATCATTTACCTAAAATGCTGACCTAAAGGGAAGGATTGGATGTATCATACACAGTAAATAAAGAACTTTGTGTTGAGTGTTAGTGGAAGCTTTATTAGGGAAAAACAATGTCAGTATGATGTGTAAAGTGGAGAGATATATTTAAAGGATAAAAAGGTTGAGTGGTCAATGATCTTTATGTCTGGGGAGAATCATGAAGAGATATATTATTCTTTGGTGTTTGGGGTTTGGTTCACCATTGACTTTATAAAACTTGTAGTGCTCACAGGATGCACAAAACCTCTAATGCACACAGATTCCCGGTTTCTAGTTAACTTGTCTCGCTGTAGAAAACGGTGTTTGCCCTCGTAAGTAACTCACTGCTGGAAATTATGGAATTTCCAACCACCTGAAAGTTATCTTAAATCAAGTCGAAAAGCCTTGTTCCGACCACTTTTGATATCCGGAAAAACCTTTGTTGCTATTTCCGACCAACTTTTGCTTTCAACTTGATTTAAGATCACTTTCAGGTGGTCGGAAATTTCATAATTTCCAGTTGTGACTTTGGAGTGTAGACATCTGCAGAATCTGTTGTGTCGTCTGGGCAGTAGTTGTTGGTTTGTTTACAGTTCGATTTGTTAAACGTTTAACCCGAAAGGTTACGTGTTAGGATGCTGACTTCACTGGCAGCAAATTCAGACGGGATTTAGTCTAATAATAGGAGGATCTTACATAAGTTATTCAAGTGTACACTTCTGTCTTGCATTTTCGTGGACCACTTTGATCATTGCAAGCATGAGTACACAACCTGATCTTTTAATTGACGGAATAGCTAGTTTCTGTACCCTTTTTTGGTATAATTCCTAGTCCTATCATTCGATGATTTGAACAGTAGCCTATAGTCTCTTTCTTCTTTTTTTTTTTTTTTTTTTTAAATGAATTTTGATTTCTATTATCAGATAAGAGCGTGTTATTGTCATTAACTGTTGTTTCCTAATCTGATCGGAATTTTTTGCTTCGAGTTAAACTTATTCTCCAAATTACAGACTCTTGTTTCTCTCCTATTGGATAGTATTAAGTTAGCACATGATTCCCTATTTTTAGTTGCATCTCAATTCTCAAATTCTACTTATCAACATCGGGAGCTTATTCTTCTAAACTATTATCTTCCCCGTTTGATCGGTGAAGTGGCAATTCAATCTAGACCAATTGATATGGAAAGATATTATCTCGAAAATTTCCTGGAACAGATCCTAATAAAAGTATGCAGTGATGGCAGAACCCAACATTGAGATGCCCCGAGGGCTTAAAGTTCCTTATAAGCCGTCCCCAGCTTTACCCGGAGAATAAATATTAATGTTTGGTTAAGCTTTTAGAGTGGTTATGCTATTCCAGAATCCAGAAGTAAAAGTCAAGATGCAAAGTTTGTATTCCATATTCTCTTTTGCATGAGTTTTATAAATCCGATTCTCAGATTTCTTGGACATTTACGGATTGGATATTCATATTAGCGTGATCGTTGGAGTTAACTAGTTAAACCTTGAATGACACCAGGCGGATGTGTTACATTGTTTCCTTAAAAACGCAATTGGCCCTGTTTGGTAAATGGCTGATAGCTATTAGCTGATTGAGTTAATTAGATGGTATAACTAGTTGATAACATTAGCTGATTGTAGAAAGGTGTTTGGTAAATTAGCTGTTAGCTGATAGCTGTTTGGTATAATTTCTTTTCTCAAAAAGCTAATTGAAAAAGTTGTTTTGAGTAGCTTTTTGAATTTTAGCATTTTAGAGTACAAAAAGCTAATTAACAAAACACTTATATTGATTTTTAAACAAAGTCAAACAACTAATAGTGATCAAATAAGCCAAAATTGGCCTATGGGCTAACTATTTTTCCCCTGAAACGGTTTTGTCTGCAGGATTTGCGAGATCTGTGGATCAATTGCCAGCAATGTTGTATGCGTGAACGAGGCAGAGTCGATTGAGATGTGGAGTGAAGCGAACGCTGCAGCAGTAGCGGGATCCAGGGCAGCGCCCCAGGTAGAGTCGCAACGCTTCTGGCAAGGCCATCGGTTTCTCAACTTCATGCTAGCCTGTATGGTTTTCGCCTTTGTAATCTCCTGGCTCTTTCACTTCAACGTCTCCTCGTGAAACTGTGATCCTCGAAGATTGTAAAACCGCCCAACCTAAAAACCCTTGTATAGTTACCAACAACATTGATTCAGGTTAGAATTCTGTCCTGTCCTGTCCTACACCACTCTTGCCCCTGTTCAGCTTGTCCTTGCCCTGCTTTGCAAACTTGTTCATACTGTTCTGAGATTTTTATGTATTAATAGTGACATTATAGTTTTTTTTCTTTTTTTTTTTAAATAGATTTAAGAAAGAGAGAGAGAGAGAGTATTGTTGGTTACTTAGCTGTAACATAGTCCTGCTTATTATGTGCAACTATTGTTTTACAAGGTATGATTTATGCTACCTTCTTTGTTCCTTTTTTTTTTTTTTTTTTTTTTACAGGCCCTGATATATAATAGTTCATATTCAGTATTGTTACTCTCTATGAAAAGACGAAGCAAGAAAGATATAGGGGGTGTTTGGTAAATAGCTGCTAGCTATTAGCTGGTTGGAGTTGACTAGTTGATAGCATTAGTTGATTATAAAAAGATGTTTGGTAAATTAGCTGTTAGCTGATAGTTCATTACATAAAAAATGAATTTCTCAAAATTCTAATCGAAAAATTACTTTTAGCAACTTTTTGAATTTTAGTGTTTTGGAACAATAAGTTACAAAAAACTAATTAATCAAATACTCATATTGATACCAAGTGGCTTGTGGTCCATTGGTATCGGATTGCTCCCCTATGTGGGAGGTCTAGGTTTCGAGTCTCATTGTAGACATAGTTTGTATGGGTATCCCCCTTCCTTTGTAATATAAAAAACTACTCATATTGATTATTTAACCAAGTCAAACTGTTTTACCAAACAGGGTCATAGGGGGTGTTTGGTAAATAAGTAAAATAACTGTTAGCTGATTGAGTTAGTGGGTTCGACTAGTTGATAGCATTAACTGATTGTAGAAATATATTTGGTAAATTAGCTGATAGCTAATTACATACAAAATGACTTTCTCAAAAAGTTTATCTAAGTAGTTTTTTGAATTTTAGTGTTTTGGAGCAATAATCTGTTATAAAAAGCTAATTAATTAAACAATCATATTGATTGTTTAACCAAATCAAACAGCTAATAGTGGTCAAATAAACTAAAATTGACCGATAAACTAACTATTTTACTAAACCGGACTAATGAGTTTCATTTACTTCAATTTTTCAGTTTATTTTCTCCTGTTTTCCATTCTACACTGAATATTTTCAAACTGGAGAGAAAATTTGTTTCTCTACATTTTCATTTCTCCAAAAAATTTCTCAAATTAATAAACGCACTAACGGGTAATCATAACGTGCAAAAATAATTTCGGGGTTGAAACATGCTTATCCAAAAATCTATTTAAAAAAAAAAAAACAAAACAAAACAAAAAAACAAAACTAAGAGTATCCACACCAAGGAAACAAGTGGGGAGAATGCACTACTTTTAATATATTTAATTTAATGCTTACATGGATGAGAGATAAAAAAAAATAGAGAAAATTGGAAAGCAATTGCAATGGACTGGAGAATTGCAGCATGGTGGGACCCAGCAGAAAAAAAAAAATCAAATGTGACAGTCACTCGTGTCTATCATGAGTGCACCCAGCGGGCGCGTCAGGCGCGCCGTTCGGCACGCCTGATTATGATTATTATGTATATATATTTTAATTTTAAAATTAGTTTTTGCTTTTTTTTTTCTTCTCCCCGCTTATACTCTTTTTCCTAATCACTCTTACAATAACCTCATAATATCCAAACTGATAATGTTGTTCTAACAAACAAACAAACATTGGGAGATTTGCAGATAAAAACCTGAATTTGTGCTAAGTTAATTAATTAAGCTAGTGAAGTGCTACTGCTGTGGAAGGATGGTATGTTGGGCCGAGAAGATATTTGTCAATCTATCTCACATTGAATTATTAGAATTATTATTGATGTGATAAGAATAAAATCTTCTCTACTGGGAAAGAGATCTACGTAGCAGAAGAAGATGTTTGCAACTACTATACATACATACATACATGTTTTTCTGGTATGAATTTGATCCAAAATAAAAAAAATAAAAATAATCTAACGACAGACCACCCACGTTGTTTTGGGACTTGGTTGTCTTCTTGTCTATTAAGAAAATCATGATACTTAGTTTACATGATGACTATGTACTCACATCTTTAAGAGAAATTAAGAGTTTAAAATTTCATCTTATATGAAAAAATTAATATGATAAGTATTTTGTCACTTAATTGGTCAATCCAGTGTGAACAGAAATTAATTTGAGTATAGTATAGACGTAAAGGTTGTGTGAACCGTAGTCCATACAGATTCAAAACAATGTCGTTGAATTTTATGAAGGAATAAGGTTCAAATTGGCCACTGAACTGTAACCTGAAAATGCAATTAGGCCACTGAACGAAAAAAAAAAAAAAAGTGCAATTAGGCCATTGAACACTCAAAAAATGTGCAATTATGCCACTGAACTCTCCAAACGTATGCAATTTTACCGGATAGCAGGTTACCATCAATTTTAGCAGGTTACCTGCTTACGTGGCAGCTTAGTTGGCATTTTAAATAATTTTTAATAATTAATTTTAATAATAAATTTTATAAAAAATTGGAAAAAATTAAATAAAAAATAAAATAAAGTCGTTTTTATTTTTTAAAAAAAAAATTAATAAAAAAGTTATTATTAAAATTTATTAAAAATGCCAACTCAACTGCCACGTAAGCAGATAACCTGCTAAAATTGAGGGTAACCTGCTATCAGGTGAAATTGCACATTTTTGGAGTGTTCAGTGGCCTAGTTGCACTTTTTTTTCGTTCAGTGGCCTAATTGCACTTTCAGGTTACGTTCAGTGGCCAATTTGAACCTTATTCCTTTTATGAATTATAATAATGTACATTATATGTTAGTATAATGAAACTTCTGGAGCAAGATAATGTGCATTATGTGTTAAAATAATGTACTTTATGAGTTAAAATAATGAACTTTTAGAATAATATAATGTATATTATATGGTAAAATAATGTAAATTATGAGTTATAAAAATGTATATTGCAGCGGGTTGCGTGAAAAAAAATGTGTGAAACGACGTCGTTTTTGTACCGTGGTCCACACAGTCCACCGAATAATTATTGAGACTTAGAATTATCTCTTATAATTAAAATTTACTTAAGACACATCGTAGTCTAAAAAAAAAAAAAAAAAAAAAAACTTCAAACCCTTAGCCGTGCAATACAGCTCACTTTTCTTTTTCTATTTTAAATAAAAATGGATATTGTTAGGATAAGAGATGTAGCTTAAGGTCATGTTCACTGTACAGTCAATCAAACCGTTGATAGGTATGATGAAGATGCCGTTATTCACGGAGGAAATAGCAGCCACAACAATTATTCTGCTTTACAACCTTGCTAGTTGCTAGCTGGCTAGCTTCTCAACATAATGGATATATCGTTTTTCTTTAATAATTAAGTTTCTCAACTTCGACCGATTATATCATGAACTGCATACACTCCTCTTAGACCCATAAAGAAATATGTCGAATCAATTTAATTTTGAGATTTAACATTAAATTGAATACTCCTACATACATAGAGTTCAATACAAACCTAAACTTCAATGTTCGTGACGATAAAAATTGAAATTTCACATACCCATTGGAAACAAGTCTTAAATGGAGTTTCTTATCTATTAAACGAATGCCTTGAAACATATCATTATTAACCCACGAAAGCTATACAGTATTTAAAAAAAAATTAAGTGGAAAATTGTATTGTGTTGTGACTTGTGACAATAAAACACATAAGAATATGCATATACATTACTTTTTGAAAAAGATAAATGAAAGTTAGGCATAATCACAGTTTGGTTTGAACCGAATCGTCATTCTCTGTAACGTTCAAGTTTTGATTTTAGCTATTCTCAATCATGAACGATTGATTCAAAATCAAAATCAAAGTCGTGGTTTTTTTTTTTTAAATATAATTGAGTTTTAATTTATATTAACAAGGAAGTTGGAGGTTGGAACTTGGAACACAAATTCTTAAGGGGGCGTTTGGTTCACGGAATCTTGGATTATCTAGGTCATCTGAGTTTGGTAATGTTATATTACCTTGTTTGGTTCAAGTTATGAGATTACCAGGTAATGTTATATTACCTGAAAGCTGATGTGGCGGTAATGTTTCAAGGTAATGTGATTACCCCCATTTTTTAAGGTAATCTTAGATTACCTTGAATTATTCCAACTTTGCCCTTGTTAACTAATAATAATAATAATAATAATAATAATAATAATAATAATAATAATAATAATAATAATAATAATAATAATAATAATGAAATTAATATATGTTTATATAATCAAATATACATGTGTATATTTATATATTTAGTTTTTTTTTAATATTTAAATTTTGATATACATTCATACATATAAATAAATAAATACACACACATAATATATATATATATATATATATATATATATATATATATGTATATATATATATATATATATTATTGAGGGCATTATTGTAAATTGATTCATATAACCTAAAATATAACCCTGAACCAAACAAGGTAATATTATATTACACCATCCAAACCAAACACACAAAGTAATCTTACATTCCCAAAATCTCACATTACCTTCCAGGAGGTAATCCTATTACCTGGGGTAATCCAAGATTCCGTGAACCAAACGCCCCCTAAAGAAAATGTTGAGATTACCCTACACGCCAGAAGGGAGAGAAGTCACTTCAATTCGCAGGATAAGGCAGGCCGGCCGGCAAGATTAGCTTTAGCTTCACTTCAAAAACATAGAATGTACATATATGCAATGTAACTATATATAACAATTAACTTATATCTTAATTTAGGTCACATATCTTATATCTATCTTAGGTTGTCAATAATTTTTGGTCATTATTTATCATGGTCGGTCCAACAATTCCATTGCTGTCTATATCCAAATCTATCCCGGAATGGGACTTTGCACATTCCAAAATCTTCATTTTTTAGCCAAACAATATTGTTTTTCTTTTTGGTTCTAATATACGAGATAGATACATGTTCTCTAACCAGCCTTGTAGAGTATAAAAACATCATTATAAGTTTGTATTAAATCATGCATGCTAAACCCTCGGTTTGGAGTGCGAATGAGATAGTCAATTCAAGTCTTAGCTTGTGAGAAATGTCTATTGACTTTCTTGGTTTGAAACAGTCCGTTATAAGAAATCTAGACAAGTTGACCTCAATATAGTCCATTTACAGTTAAGGTCACAATACAAATTTTACCCAAAAGACACTTTTTGAGTGCGGCGTCGCACCGTAGGTCGACCGAATGACCTACGGCAGACTGGCCGGGTGGTGCTATGTGGGGCGATTTCAAGAGTGATCTGAGAACATCTTCACCTATCACGAGCCGTGTTAATACAAGCAATTTAATAAGTGATTTGATTTCATCGGGTCAGCAAATTTGGTTGACCGACTGGGTGGTTGCACAACGGGTTATCCTTGTGCATATTTACCCATCAGCTATATGTCAATTTTAAGTCAACTCTAAAATATTATTACTTGCGTATTTTATTTTAACAAAATAATATTATTTTTTACATTAGCTATAGTTTTGACTTTTGAGTTCTAATTATTTTATCGTAAAGGAAACTTGGATGGGGGCCGGGATACTTTAGGTAATGTACCATTTTGAAAGTTGCACAACATTACTTAAATATTTTTAAAGGAATGAGATGTATGAAAATGTGAAAAAATGAACTAGAAACTATTCGCTAGAATTCAATGTATATGAAAAAGTCTCACATCCTCAAAAATGGAATAATAAAGACATACAACATTTTAACTCCTACGTTACTAAAATTGTATAATATAAACTGAATTATATTAAACAATCCCATGCTAACTATCTTGTAGTCTAATGACACACCTGTTATCCTTCTAAATATGTGGTCACAGGATCAAATCTCGGTGGTAGGGATCAGACATTATTTCTTTAGGGTAAAAAAGATTGAGAAAATATAAACTATAGAACATACAAACTTTGCATATCTTGAAACAAATTTGGTGGCATGGGCTTGTCGAAAATATAAAATTGTTGCTTAGACATTAACTGTGGTTGAATATAACATTTTTCTTTGTGATGGAAAGAACATACAATTACTACATGAGAGTATACACGGGATAAACCTTTATGAATTTAAAGTACAAAAATTATTTTTTTACATATCCTAGTTTCTTCTCTTAAAAGGTTGAATCCCCAACTCTAAGGGCTCCACACCCCGGCCTGACAGAGCATTTGGAGGATGTAAATCACAATAACTTAATGGCTCAGCATATAAGGTCAAATGTTGGTGCGCGCAATAGATTTGTCTATTTTGAACAAAATCTCCACACTGCCGCTGTCGATGTTAAATTATTGATCTCTTATCTCAAATACTACCTACTGAACTAGTGAATTAAGTACTACTAAACAAATATAATAATTTCTTCTCCCAAATACAAATATAATAGTTTCTTGTCCCAAATACTGCCCACTACACAAATATAATAGTTTCTTGTCCCAACAAATATAATAGTTTCTATCCCTAGGGGTGAGGGAAAGAATTGTTTTTTAAAGCTTAAAATAATAAAGTTGACATGGGGAAATGGTGACGTGTGTATTCATTGGGAACGTGCACAGCATGATTTATGACCTTTTTTAACAACTAAGTTCGGCTTAATTGTCTATTAATTAAAGCTATATACTCCATAATTATTTTTATAACAATAATAATCGCAACGGATTAGGGAGTGATTGGATGAATGACCCGACCCGAATTATATTAGGGCAAGCGGCAACGCAATCACCTCAAAAACCATTTTAGATCGATCTAGTCCACGTAGGAATTGAAACAAAAATACTTTAATTAGGTTTTGTATTTAAAGATTTAAAACACCACTATTTCTTAATTATATATTATTAAATTTGAATATCATTATATCTCCAATAATATTTTAATCTCTCAATTATGACATAATAAATACTATTTTATTCTCTACATATTTTTTTTCTAAAAAATTAAGAATTTCTCTAATTATTATATTATCAGTAATATTTTAATCTCTCAATTATACATAACAAGTACGGAGTACTATTTTATTCTGTATATAATTTTTGTTTTTGAAATTTACATATTCTATATTTTCTTCAATTTTTAAAATTTTAATTTCCCTTCTTTATTTTCAAATTAGAGACATATATATAAACATATTTATATTTTTTCCATTAATTTTTTCTCTAAAAACAATTAAAAAAATTCTAGTTAATAAATGCACGCTTACCATATATATATATATATATATATATATATATATATATATATTATAATAACAAAATGACTATAAATACTATTCTCCTTTTATCATATTACCACATGATATTGACAATCTTATTGTTCCAGGTTTAAAATTGACAAGTTCAATAAACTTTTTTTTTTTTTAAAGAATAAAAACTTAAAACTTCAAAGCAAATGTTTATTTTATGCTAGGGTGATAATGTATAGACTAATCCCATATGTTCATCTAGAATGATCAAGATTTGAAAATTAAAGAAAAATATTGTGATACATTCATAATTGTGACTATATATTTGGAAATGCTTAATAGTGTATCCATTGATAATTGACTGTGCACTCATAATTTATAATAGTGCATTCACATATATGTGTGTACTATTAGTTATGTGTGGATACACTATTCACTATTTTCAAAATACACCATCGTAATTATGAAAATGTCATCGCGTTTATTTTTTTCTCATTTAATTTTCTCTTAAATTAATGTCTAGTCCTAACTTCTTCTCCCAAAAGGTTAAATCTTCAACCCCAAGAGCCCCTAAGACCCCGGTCCGACAGAGCATTTGGGAGAATGTAAATCACAGTGACTCAATGACTTAACAGACATGGCCAAATGCCGATGCGCACAAGTGATTTGTCCAGTTTGAGCATAATCCCCACATTGTCGCTGTCAAAGTTCGAACATTGATTACTTCTCCAAAATACTGTTTACTGAACCAGTGAGCAAAGCCCGTGTAGGCCTAGTCCTATCTTAATCATCCTAGATGTACATATGATCGATATTAATTCATGTATTCTTACGAGGTTATTATCCCTAGTTCTAACTTCTGAACATAATAATTTTATAAAAATTGTATATTATATGTTTATAACTCAATCCATATGTGTATGTAATTATCAATTCTGATTTTTCTTTGAATACAAGAGCCTTAATAGGAATAGTATCGACTAAAACATCAAACTTTTTTTTTTTTTTTTTTTTTTTTGAAAACAAACAAGAATCTATTTAATTGAAATCCAATGGTCTAAATTGAATTTGTGCCAAGACTATTTCCTCAACCTTCAGCGGGGTTGAACTTTTGTGCCAATTTCCCTTTCACAACAAAAATTTAAAATAGAAAAAAAAAAAAAAAAAAAAACAAAAAATTGTCAACTTATATACTAATTTTCAATTTTCTGTTTTAGGGCATAAAATTCCTCAAAAGTCAAAAGATATCATCTCAGAAGAAATATTAAGATGTTGATTTTATTTCCATATTAGTGGTTGAGATTTGACCCTTTTTTTTTCAAAGATGTATTCATTTTATTTCCATTCTTTTCACATTTAGTATAAACCTTACCTGTTTCTAAACTCTTTAATGGAATGGATTAAAATTTATAACGAACTCCCAATCTTTTTTTTTTATTTATTTGTTATGCTTTTCTCAACCTAATGAAGCACACATAGTCAACAATACCCCCTGATCAAGGCTCGATCTCATGACCTCCCACATGGAAGAAGTCATTACATGCCATCTGAGCACACTGTGCTTGGCAACAAACTCCCAATCTAATTAACCATAAATTTGAATTTTTGTTATGTTTGATTAAAATCAAATTAATGCCAAACATCTTGTGTTCAATTGACACTTCTGTGGCTCTCCTTGAGGGGAGGTCACAGGATCGACCCGATGGTGGGGTATTGACTCTTTGATCCAGAACTGATAGAGAAAATATATTGAACAGATACTACACTGTACTAGAGAATCAAATTCATTATTAATAAAATATACAAATAATTAAGATAAAATATAATCGTGATGAATTTTATGACATTTTAAACTATACATTCTACCACCCACATATAGCCTCAAGATATACTCGTAATTTGGGGTAAGAAATACTCGTAATTTTATATGTATCAATTTTTTCTTATTATTTTATCATTCGACTAATTTGTAATATCCGAATAATTTTATTTGTATCAATCTTTTCTATATTTTTACAACTCGATCAAATTGTGACTGGTCAATAAATTCACGAGGACTTAATAAATATAAAGGGAAAATGACACTTTTCCCCTTAAGTTATATACTCATAGCATTTTTTTTTCTCAATTATTTATGTAAGCACATTAGCCCCTTCAATTATTTTAAAAGTTGTGGTTTTTCTCGTGATATATTAAATTGGCATTTCTACCCTTAAAGTAAACATTTTATTTATTTTTACTTCTCCAACAAATTATTGTGTATATATATGTAGCAATGACCACGGTTCGGTTCGAACTGAACCGGACACTATATTAATCGAATTAAAAGTTTTCGGTTATGATTCAAATCTAGAACCCAATATTTGGATTTCAATTTATTAAATTTATGAACTAAAAAAATTGGATCATGAACTGTGAACCGGCGGTTTCGAATCCGGTTCGCGATTTTGAACCGTCTTTATTTTAATATTTTATTTTATTTTTTATTTTAAAATAGTCTAAATTCAACAATAAATGTATTTTATTTTTTTCAGTTCAGAACATGAACCGGTCATTCCGGTTTGCGATTTTAATAAACTCTAAATATCGCGTTTTGATTCTAAATTGTAATTGGAATATTTTAGTTCGGTTGCTATAGTATCTGTTTGGTTTGAACCAAATTATAGTGATAATTTGTTGGAGAAGAAAAATAAATGAAATATTTATTTTAAGGGTAAATATGTCCATTTAACATTTTAGGAGGAAAAAAAGCCACTTAAATAATTCAGGGGAAAAAAGTGTTATAAGTATATAAATCAGGGAGAAAAAGTGCCACTTTCCCTAAATATAAATAACAAAAACGTGTGTGATAAGTTATATAACATGACATTTTTTTTTGAAAGGATATAACATGCCATATTTAATTCAACTAATATTATCATCTCGACACTCATTAGTTTGTGTTTATGATTTTCCTACGAAAACTCCATGGAATTGTGTGTATATATATATAATATAAATGTGTATATAATAAAGACAGTTTACATTACAGTTAAAATAGGCAAAGAAAAACTCCGTACATGTTTTTAAAAGGAGAGGGAGCGTGCGGTCACGACAGACAAAGAAACCACGTCTTCTTCTTCGTAGGTTGCGTCGGTTGGTGTCTCAAATTCTGCTATTTCTTCTTCCCCTTTCAATCGAGACTCTTCAGTTGCTTCTTTGTTTGTTCTTCTTGGGTGAGATTGAGTGGTGTGATGAGGACGCTGTGCCCTAATCTGGACCGGGAAGATGGGCTAGAGACGGTTCTAGAAGTCCCAATCCCGGAGGAGATGTTCCCGGCGAGCAAGAACAAGTCATGGCAGGCGATGAAGTGTTGGATGAGACCCCAGACTGAGAATTCCGGTCCCGGCGGCCGGAGCGCCGAGATTCAGCTCTTGCTCAGCGTCGTCGGAGCTCCTCTCGTCCCCATTCCGATCCCCTCCCACCAGGCCTGCACCCCCGCCGGGAAAATCAACGATCATCCCATTGTAAAATTTCGCCGCGAATTTCTTGCCTGGTACCTGTTCGATCTTTTTCCTGTGAGACTGGATGGTTACGAATTTTTAACTCTTTTGCAGGAGGCGTCGATGGCGAAGTACATAGTGCACCAGTACATAGCGGCGGCGGGAGGGGAGACTGCGATGAATGCCATTGACAGTATGTACGCAATGGGGAAGGTGAAGATGGCGGCGTCGGAGTTTATATCCGGCGATGGATTGGGCCCCAACGTGGACGGCGGCAGGGTGATGAAGATCAAGAGCGTGAGAAATGGGGCGGGTGAAGTTGGAGGGTTTGTTCTGTGGCAGAGGAGACCTGGGCTATGGAGTTTGGAGCTTGTGGTTTCAGGCTGTAAAATCAGCGCAGGCTGCAACGGCAAGCTGGCTTGGCGGCAAACTCCATGGCAGAACTCCAACGCCTCCCGCGGCCCGCCTAGACCTCTTCGCCGCTCCTTGCAGGTACCACTTGCTTTCATTTACCATCAAATTTTCATTTTCCAACACCCTCGGGTCGAGTATTGGTTACAGGTTTCCATCATCAAAAAAAAAAAAAAAAATTATTTTCTAATAATATTCCATTCTCACCAATACATTTAGAACCATTCAAACTTGTCCGCATGAGTACCCAATCGGTCACAAGAGATCAATGATCGAGTTTCCCCTAGTTGAGTCATTAGGATTTGCTCTATCGAGTTTGGATAGGTGATTTTACCTTTTTGTCTATTCAAACTAGTTTAGAAAGATTTCGAACCAGTTTACACATCCTATTAGGATTCGAAAAAATCAAATTTGAACAAGCAAACATTCTTTTGCTGTTTTTGGTGATTACCATGTTCTTGTTTCACTTGGTGGGGAGGGTCCTAATGCTTGGAATCTACCTGTTCATAACTGTTTACAACTTCTTTGAAGGCGTGTGTTCTCTTTTTGACTCAAAAGAGGAGTTTTAACAGACCATCTTTTATGGCCTACTTAATTGGAATATTCCCATTATCTCAACTGACAACTTTGTTTAATGCTAAGACTTTGATTCCCCAGTGTGAACCTTGTACAGCTTGGTGGCTTCCATTACATTATTCAATTAATTCCTCCAATTAGATTCTGCCTACATTCAATTATCTTGATCAAGACAACTTTAAATTGTTTTCTTCATGTGAAAATCTTGATTTTTTATTTTTATTTTTTTCACATTACAAGTCAGCTTAATCACATGGGTTTGAACAAAACTGTTAATCAAACTTGTACGGCTTGTCCCTTTCCAGTGGTTTGGTGGGACATTTTAGTAATTAGTTGTCTGATATAACAACTCCACCAAACAATATAGGCATCAACTACCTGTATTCTCAAATCTTACTCCCTTAAGACAATTTGAATTTTTACTCCCTGGAGTGGTCTATCCTTCTTTTGTCAACTCCAGCCAAGTCGGTTAAAGTATTGATTTGTTAAGTGGTTATAAGTTCAACTTTCAGTGAGAGTGAGTTATTGGGGTCTTCTTTTATCAACTCAACCAAGTCCGTTAGACTATTGACTTGGTAACCAACTACAGTTTAATGGATAATATAAGACTGATTAACCTCTAAGACTCAAAAAATGGATTTCCCATGTATACTATCTTCCAATAGTAACTGCGAATTTGTTCTACGTATGAAATAGGGTCTTGATCCAAGATCAACAGCAAACCTGTTCTCAAACTCAATCTGCACCGGCGAGAAGACGGTGAACGAGGAAGACTGCTTCGTGTTAAAGGTGGAAGCAGAAGGCCCAAGCCTGAAAGCAAGAAGCAGCAGCAACGTGGAGATAATCCGGCACACGCTGTGGGGATATTTCAGCCAGAGAACAGGGCTGTTGGTCCAGCTGGAAGACTCTCATCTTCTGAAGATCAAATCCCCCGCCGGAAACATCTTCTGGGAGACGACGATGGAGTCGGCGATCCAAGATTACCGCACCATCAACGGCGTCAACATCGCCCACGCCGGCAGGACCGCCGTGTCGCTGTCCAGGTTCGGGGAAAACGAGGACGAGGCCGAGGCGGCGGAGGGGAAGACGAGGACGAGGATGGAGGAGGTGTGGAGCATCGAAGAAGTGGATTTCAATATCAAGGGCTTGTCCATGGACTGTTTCTTGCCTCCCAGTGACTTAAACAAGGAAGATGAAACTCCGGCGGCCAAGATGGGGAACCGGCTTCTTCCGGCCACGAAACTCCGCCCGATTACTGCTAAATTGAGCTCCGGAAAAGGGGTCAAGATCGTTGCCATTGATGAAGAAGATCAATAATAATAGCTAGCAAATTTAACAGCTTTATAAGATGATCTTGAATTTATTATCTCATCTGCTCATTTTTGTACATACAGACCGTAGAGACATTTCACATATATATTGTTCACATAGGAAAATATTTCATAGGTATTAGCAAAATTCGACAGCGCATCAGCGCATGGTTGTTTTTGAGTCCCCTACTATAAATTACTTAAGTTGGTTTCTGGTTTCAGACTTTGCTCACACTTTTGAATAGTAACTACAAATTTTTGTGTAAATCAAAATAGTTTAAAAAAAAATTTGATTTTAGTGATCCAAATAACTAAAATTGATCAAAACAATTTAAATTTTATACTAATAAACTTTTTCCTTTGCTTTTTAGTTCATTGTTAAAATTATAAACAACATATTTTAATTTAAATAGTTATCAAATATCTATGAAAACTCCCATATGCACATTTTAGAGGCAAATTATTGTGTGCATCATAATACAAAAGTACATTTTTAATATACTGAATGTACATTACTCGTGCACTGAATGTACATCATATAAAATAATGTACTTTCAGTACTCAAATAATATATTTTCTCTGAATGCAATGTACAATTTTAATATACTAAAAATATACATTATTTGTGTACTAAATATACATTATTTGATAATATAATTTACCAAGCTGTTTGGACCATGATCTACACAATAATAATTGTAGAGTTGTCATTAATCTGCAGGTTACCCATTTACCTGTTTTAATAATACATAATTAAAAATTTTAAATTTTAAATTTTAAAACCCTTTTTAGTTGAGAATGAGGAATTTGAATCCCAATTTCAAAAATAAGTCTCAATTTCACATCACATTAAAAATTTATTGTCTTTTATAAATAAATATTATTTTCTCATAAACATTGGTGAATGCTATTTAAAATTTAAAAAGTATTCTTTTTACGCATATAATTGAACGCAAATTATAGTACAGTGGTGTTTGGTAAATCGCTGATCAACCAATTTTTAAATGGTTTGTCTTAAAGTTGGTGTTTGGTAAATCAACTTTTTGGCTCGATTGCACCAATCATTAAGCATTTCCAATACACAATATTAACCTCATTATTATTATTATAATTATTATTATTGTTATTATTGTTATTATTATTATTATTATTATTATTATTATTATTATTATTATTATTATTATTATTATTATAACCTAGAGTTCTTTTCCAAAGTTAGACATGGTTAGAGTTTTTTGTTGGTATTTTGTGTGCTTAACTATTCTACTTCAAAACTTACTATCTCATTTATCTATAAAATCGCATCTTCCAAATAGGTGTTTGGTAAATCTCATTTATCTATAAAATCGCATCTTCCAAATAATAATAATGCAACGATTAGTTTAGAATAAATAAATTTTCAAAAAAAAAAAGTTTAGAATAAATAACATTCACCAATAGAAGAGAAGTGGATACATATGCAGTACAATTTCAAATAAAACGAGAATTGCATGGAATACTTTACAACAATTAAAATAAATTAGAATTGCATATTTAAATAAATAAAAATTAAACAAAATATAAAAACATCACAACTTACAATAAATAATGGCTACCTAGACATTCGATTATGCCAGCACCTTTTTGTCATTTCACAATATTCTTGATGAGAAGCAAGCTGCTCTTTTGTCATCGCAGAAGTGTCCTTCATTAAAATGTTATATTCCTTTATGAAAATCTTTCTATCCTTGATATCACTTCTTCTTTTCAACCTGTTTATTTTTTGTTCCAACCTGTTTAACATATTATTATTATTATTATTATTATCATTTGTACATTGCTCCTTACCTTTCCACTTTGTAGCATTATGGCCCATCGAAAGAGGGCGGACTTCACCAATTTCCACTTCGGTGGAGGACGCTTGACTACTTGATGAATTTGACGGAAGTTGAGAACTTTTGGTAATGGATGGCATTCTGGCGTTACCATTAGTCGGTGGAGTTCCAAACATAGGGCCTTGTGAAAAGTATGGATAATTAGGAAGATATTGAGGAAAATATGAGTAATTAGGAGGATACGGTTGAAAATATGAAAAAGCTTGAGAATATTGTAAATTTGGATTGCGATTGTTTTGGGCATTGAGATGGTTTTTACTTGAACTGCTCATCAATTCTCTAAATGGTGGTTCCATTATTTATAAAATGACAACAACAAATTTGAGATGTTAATGTGAAGATAGAGATGAGTAGAAATTGATGAGGAATTGAAGGTGAGGGAGGGTATTTATAGGCAACATTTGAGATTTTTTAAAAAGTAATAATAATAATAATTGCATTTCCAATGCAACGGTCGAAAATCGGACCGTTTTTTTTTACCGTATCTTTGGTAAAAGTATGGCAGGCAAAAACAAAAATATTAGTAATTCAGATAAAGGAAAATGACATGCATTATGGGGGAATAGTTATGCTGTGCATCTGTATGCACCATGCATGGTGCATACAGATGCAAAAACGACGTCGTTTTATTAAAAACGCGCGTCTCCCCTTTAAAAAAAAAAATCAGGTTCGATTCCTAGTAACAACATTATTTTGTTCATTCATTATGGAATTTTAGTTCATGGATTATGGAATTATAGTTCATCGATTATGGAACTATAGTTCATCGATTCTGGAATTATAGTTCATCGATTCTGAAATTTTAGTTCATAGATTCTGGAATTTTAGTTCATTCATTCTGAAAATTTTAGTTCATAGATTAGATTATGGAATTATAGTTCATCAATTATGGAATTATAGTTCATCGATTATGGAATTATAGTTCATCGATTATGGAATTATAGTTTCGAACCTAATTTTTTTTTTTTAAGGGGAGACGCGCGTTTTATAAAAACGACGTCGTTTTTGCATCTGTATGCACCATGCTTGGTGCATACGGATGCACAGCATAATTTGCCCATTATGGGGGTTTTAGCTACAATATGGCCTTGGTCAGCCAAATTCCAAGCCCATTAGAGGAAATGTGCAAACTATGGCGAATTATTCTGTGGACTCACCTTACAAGTTAGATTCGATTAAAAATACAAATTTACATATTAAATGTTCACAATTTACATACTAAATGTTTACAATTCAAATTGTAAATATTCAGTATGTAAATTGTGTGTTTTAGATTCGGGTCCACCTTGCAAGGTAGACCCAGGTCCATGGTATAACTGTCGGCAAACTATATTGTGAATTATAATCTATATTGCAGGATGGACCACTAACAAATATTCATTTCTAGTATATTGAAGTCTTTGAAGATTCATTTTTAATGTATTTAAATGTAACTTTAAGTAAAATATGTAAAAACGAATGTCAAGGACCTTGTGGTCCAATGACACCAAGTTGCTCCCACATAGGGGAGAGTGTGGGTTTGAGTCTTAGTGGAGACGATGTTGACTCTTTGTGCTTCATTTGGTTGAGAAACTGGGTTTGAGCAGATGTTTGGCTCTTTGTGCTTCATTTGGTTGAGAAAGTGGGATATTATTAGGGTTTGAGCAGATGTTGGGTGGGATATTATTACATTGTAATAGAGTAACCTGCAGTATATTAAAAATGAAATTTATGTCAGTGGTCTACTTTACAATGTGGATCATGGTTGACGGTATAATAATTGAGTGCGGCAAATTATATCATGGACCAAGGTGGATCATGGTTGACATTCATATTATGTGTCTACATTTAACATATTATATACATTCAGTTAATAAATTATGTGCACATAATTTGTTTAATAGACACATAATATGTTAACTACAAACACATAATATGTTATTTGTAAGCGCATAATACATTAGTAATATATTATCACTACAAGAAAAGTGCACATAGACAACACTAGAAAGACAACAGTTATTAAGAAAAGTGTTGTCTTTTGTATAAAAGACAACAGTTTGGTCCAAAACCGTTGTCTTTGATGCAACATTTTTGTCAAAGACAACGGTTTTTATATAACCGTTGTTATAAGTGTGTTGTCTTTGTGCATATTGTGAAAAGACAACACCACAACGACAACGGTTTTTTAAAACCGTTGTCTATGTGCGTTTTTTTTTTTTAAAAAGACAACGGTTTTTTTAACCGTTGTCGTTGCTGTGTTGTCTTTAAGCACACTAGAATACACAACACTAAAAAGACAACGGTTGTTTAAAACTGTTGTCTTTGTGCGCTCTTTTTTTAAAAAACGACAACGGTTTTATTTAACCGTTGTCGTTTGTGTGTTGTCTTTAAGCGCACTAGAATACACAACACTACAAAGACAACGGTTTTTTAAAACCGTTGTCTTTGCGCATTATTATTTTATAAAAGACAACGGTTTTATTTAACCGTTGTCATTTATGTGTTGTCTTTAATAGCACTTGAATACACAACACTACAATGACAACGGTTTTATATAACCGTTGTCGTTGCGTGTTCTTTATTTGTTTAAGACAACGGTTTTATTTAACGTTGTCTTTGGTATGTTGTCTTTAAGCGTATTTGAATACACAACACTACAAAGACAACGGTTATAAAAAATCGTTGTCTTTGCGCATCATTATTTTATAAAAGACAACAATTGTATAAAATAAAAACAAGGATGTTAATAACAAGAGTTGAACCTATAACCTCAAACATAACAAATAAGATTTAACCAACTAAGCAACACAAACTCTTATATACCAAAGTGCAACATCTGGTATATAACTGGGTTGTCTATGAAAACCAAGACAACGATTTTATAAAATAGGTTAGGATGCCTCTAGGAAAAATGGAACCCAAAACTTCTAACATAATAAACTAAGCTAAACCCACCAAGCCACACCAACACTTGTGTATTTAAGTGCAACATCAAATATATAACAAGTTTGGTTCTATGTTGTCCCTGAGAACCAAGACAATGATTGTATAAAGTAGAACCAAGCTAAACCCACCAAGCCACACTAACACTTATGTATTTAGGCTAAACCCACAAAGTCACACCAACTCTTGTTTACTAAAGTGTTACACATTATCTTTTACCTATAATTTGGACCTTCATTGTTTTTGTTACGAGATGACAATAGATGTTTACAAGATCTAGAACAAAAATAAAAATGTAATTAATTTTTTTT